AAAATTCTACTGTAAAATCAACTTTGCTTAACTGCTTAGAAAATTTAACATGAAAATTGCATAGCAGGCATATTACAAGTCATAGGATATAATACTGCATTTGGGTCATCCAGTGCAGTTTAGATGTTTTTCAGTCATTTAATACTCAGTACATATAGCACATTTGTGCTATAAAGCACAAATAGGTAGGAATTAATCAGAAAGAGCTTGTTACTTGTCTTATGACTAATAGGTTAACAATCAAAAGATTTGATAGATCACATTTAACACTACTAAATACAAACTTTAAATTCAGCCACAGAAAGGAACCCTGATTCCTTGCAACACCTGATGAAGCCAAAGAAGTAAGAAGGGCCTGTCAGAACGGATGAACCAGTTCCTGAAGGTTTACATTACGGGGAAGTATAAATCAGGACTAACTGCATATTTTATATACGTAGTTATTCTTGATTCTTGGAAGAAGAGAAACAAAACCAGACTTTATAATATAAATACTGTCTTCTTTGTAGCATGCTCCTTCATGAATTTTTAACCAGGAAATCATCCAAGGGACTTACAGAATTTTTGTCTTTGTCATCCGTGTAGCTTAGTCTTCTGAATATTCTGTAAGAAAGAATCATTTAGATGATAAAGCAAATCACACAAAAATACTATGCTCGCTGAATCTGTGATTAACAGAATGAAATGGAAACAAATCAGAAAGCAAGATATCTGAACATCTTGACTGTAAACAGCAGCAATCCTATATGCTTTCAGCTAGAGGAAACTGTTCAGCTGATGTCATTTTAACATCTCAGTAATGCTACTACATTAACTATATTAATATCTATGAAACTTCAGGATTTAATCTTTGAATGTATTCACAAATAGCTAAAAATTAGATAGAAGTGAGAATATAATTATTTTCTTGGGTATTACTTAAGAAGTGGCCTTTTTTAACATCTATTTTAAATTATTTTGGTTTACATCTGACAATAAATAAAGCAGTAATAGCTGTAGGACAGCATTCATAAAGAGCCTAATAAAAGCTTATTGGTTATGAACTTTTCATTTTCATAATAATCTTCCAGATAAAGGCAGTCAAGTTCCAGACAGGAAGACAATGTTCCTTTTCTCTCCACAACCACTCATTACAACGTACAGTGTTTTTACACATGGCTTAGGCATAAAATTTCTGAGGGCTCTGAAGCCATTAAAGAAGAGCTTCACTCCTGGGAAACATAGGAAGCTAAGAATATCACACTACAGGCCTAAGGAAGCTTGCCAGCTGACAGGCCATTTTGGCTACAAATCAGCAAGCATGCATGTGTAATTATAGAACAAAGAAATAGATTTTATTCCAGATGGCTTGGCAAGAAAGCACTCTGTGAAATCCTGATGCCCTCCTTTCTCAAACTTCTATATTTACTTGCATTAATGAAAGGAAAATCCTTTTCTCAGGAACAATTACGAATTTCATAGAATAAAATGAAAGATTAATTTTGGTTGGAAAAAAACCTAGAAGACTATGAAGTCCAACCATTACCTTAGCATACTGCCAAGTCCACCACTAAACCATGTCTCTAAGCATCACCTACATGTCTTTTAAATACCTCCAGGGATGGTGACTCCACTACTTCCCTAGGCAGCCTGTGCCAGTGGCTGACAACCCTTCCAGTAAATAATCCCTGGCATAATTTGAGGCCATTTCTTCTTGTTTTGAGAAACTTCCCTGGGTGAAACTTCATTGTAATGTTTGTAACCACTCCAAGAGTTCATTCAGATCCCATAATGAAGTGATAGAAGTCAGGTCCTGTGGACACGTGAGGTGCTTGACAGTTTTTTCCTAGTATTCCTCTAGGAGTTACCATTTTTATTTGCATCACTAGATCTTCAAAGTTTCTGTAAATTTTTTTTTCATGTCTGATGCCATCCTCCTAGTGAACCGAACTCCAAGGAGTCTGGTTCATGGCCTATGCAGAAGCCACTTTCAGCAAGCTATTTTTCCAGTTCTTGTCCAACAATACCAGCTTCCACACAAGCTGTTTGGTTCCTCTCATCTATCCAGAGAATCCGATTCATTTGTGGTGTATCCAGTGAGATAATAGTTCTTTTTTCTTCTTCAGGACATTCAAGGGCACTAGAGACACTCATCCCTCCACCAAATGGTATTATGCAGAAATTATGTTTGCAGGGTAACTCCACGTTTTTAACTACATCTTCATGGCAAACAGGCCACACAACTGTATCAGGAATTCGCTTAAGACTCCCTCCCTGAGTACAAATACCTCATGTGGGCAGTGACCATGAGCTCTGAATACTTTATCTTCTGCATCCTGCAAATATGAGATTTATTGGCTCTAAGATCCTGGAGAACTTCTTAATTTACAGTGGATGGAGGTACATCATTAATATTTAAGGATACTCTAGCAGTAGTTTTGTGCTCCAGACTTGCTCCAAAGCTTTTTCTATTCATTCCTTGAAATTTGGTAATACCATACCACCTAATCTGGAGAAGCCCCCTGTGCCTTGCAGGGGTTCAGGGAATGCTTGCTCTAATGCTTGTTATTTGGGAGAAGAGATCAACACCCATCTCACTACAACCTCCTCTCAGGTAGTTGTAGAGACCAATAAGGTCTCCCCTCAGCCTCCTTTTCTCCAGATTAAACCCCAGTTCCATCAGCCACACTTCCTAAGACTTGCTCTCTGGAACACTCACCGGCTTTGTTGCCCTTCTCTGGACATGCTGCAGCACCTCAATGTCCTTCCTGCACTGAAGGGCCCAAAACTGAACATAGTATGTGAGGTGCAGCTTCACCAGTGCTGAGTACATGGGTACCATCACTTCCCTATACCTGTTGGCTACACTATTTCTGATACAAGCCAGGATGCTGTTGGCCTTTACTGCTGGCACATATTAAAAGCACTTACCTTTGGTGACACTTCTGTGCATTTGTGGGACAACTGTAATTCTTCACTGCCTGAGGCCAACCAGAGTGGGCATCTGCAATCCCTGATTCCAGCAATGAAAAACAGTAGTATGAAAAGGGTAAGAACAATGATGACTAGCATGGGCACTGCAAGGTGTTCTTAAAACTATTAGCCTACTGACATTAGCAATTCTTTATTGACTTACTTCAATATGAAAATATTCTAATGCAAGAGATTCAGAAAAAACAATTTTATAAACTGAATATATTGAAGTATAAGCTAGGTTTCTTCAAAATGCTTATAAAAATTATTAGAAAAAGGCAATAGAAGAAACTGCTGATGCCAGAAAAAAATTTAATACATAAAGTATGAGTTAAAATTTGAGGAAGTCAAGATAAGACAGATTGGATAAATCCATCTCAAATAATATTCTTTACAATTAATCAGTAACGAAAATGCAACAAGGCTAGAACATGCAAACAAATGCAGTTCTGCTGTTCTGTTCTTGTATAACACCTGACAGTATTTTAAAGCCTCCTTCTTCAGTATTTTCCTTTACATAGTAGTCAGTTGTTATCTTGATGACAAGGTAAATAAAAATAAAATAAAAAATAAACATGATTTTACTTAGCAGGAAAAAAGTTCAAGTTATGTTATAAACATGTTTCAACCACAATGAGATTTTTAAAACGAAATCTTAAAAAATTAGGGTTTTTTTTAAAATATTAAAATTCTACTGTCTTGAATTGGAAGAAGTCTTTTATCCAGATTAGTAATATAATGCAGCTAAACAAATGACAATAGCCATGCAACAACTCAATCACAAGTTTTTGTAAAGCTGAAGAATCCAAACAAAAAAGTGTAGAATAAACAAACTATGCATTCATTGCTGAACATTTGCATACAGAAAGGAAAAACAACAGAAAACTTTAATAAAAAGGAAGAGAAAAAAGAGCAGATAACTACACTTCAGTCTGAAAAGTCCTAGTTAACCTAAAGAAAAGCTTCTTAAATAGCTGTTACATGTGATTCAGGAAACCCTTTTCTGTATAGATTCCTTACTTAAAGGAACACTTAAACATAAATTATTACTGAGAAAGAAGACCTGTCACCTAGACAGTGGCCTATTGAGATCTGTAGATTTAACCTTTGAAAAAATGCTTGTGATTGCTAAAGCAATACAGTTTCTCAAACTAACCTTGCAGGGAAGTACCAGGAATACCAACAAAAGTTTTGTCTGAAGATGCATGAAATCCATAGTCCTGAAAATAAAGCATCAGCAGATTACTTCAATGAAAAAATTCACATATTTTACAGCTTGCGTCAGAAAAAATGACCAGGAATCTGGAAAAAAGGGCCTGATTTAAATATTAAATCAACAAATAATTCCAGTGGAACCCAGTAAAGCTTAATTTGTTTGCATCAACTTGTCCATCTTTAAAATGAATAAAACATCATTTCAGAAGGACACTACCTTAATTAACAGGGTCACGGAGATTATTTTAACCAGTGACACAGCCTATTAAAATGAAACTATCTTTTACTGAGCATTTTATAACCATTTTCAAGGTTACTAAATATTGTCAGCTTCCTCATACAATCCAGGAAACCTGATACAGCTTATATTTTAGCAAATACAGGTCCCCAAAACTCCAAACCTATAAAACAACCGTACTGACCTACTAGCACCAGAAGTCTACTGTCACTCGTTTAAACAGATTCCAGCTGATTTTTTTAAGCCCTTCTCCAAATACCAACAAAGAATGCACAATAATTTTTTATAGGATCCTTAAGTACCTGATGCTGACAGTTGTGACTGGCAAAAAAGCTGGGGTTACTGCCATTGCATGTGCTCAAAAAATGCATGCCATCTGTCTGAAGATGAACATTTTTTCTGTGAGAAATCTGTTGACATTCTGTTAACGGAAAATAGCGTTCTGGTATATTTCTCAGTCGCTTTACTGGTGAACAAAGAAGGTCATTTTGAAAGTTTCCTAGTCTTTTAACTCTGGGAAATGCAGAAAAAGTTCGAACAGGCGAGTTAACAAGAGCATTTACAGTTTCAGACATCTGTATTCCTTCATATTTCCTTAAATTTGAAGCTCTCTGAAACCCAGGAAGTTTTGGAACAGCATCACTACACAACTGCTCACAGATTCTGTCAAATTCTCTAGCATACTGCATGTCAGACTTCACAGAGTCACTTAAATTACCCTTCACTAATCTTCCTTTCACTTCAAAGTTCTGTGAATTTGGAACAGGTCTTGTCACTGCCAAAGGCTTTTGGAATTCTTTGGAACACAGTCCATAGTAGAGTTTTTCAAATGCATCTTGAGATTTCTGGAGCATCTTTGAAGGACTATGCTTAACAGACAATGGGGAAAATGACTGTTTGCCCTGGAAAGAAATTTGTCTTTCAGAAATTGTTTTGCCAGTAATTGGGATTAAAGTCTTTGATGCTTTTGCAAGAGAACAGCTTGTGACACAGGCAAAAGTGCTACTATTGCCAGAGAAACTGCAAGTAGATGAACATAACTTGGAGATATCACCACTAGGAAAGTCGATTTTTTGAGCTTTACTCTCTTTTACCAGATGAAGTGCAGTTGATTCTGAACAGGCAGTAGATGTTTTAAAAGGGTATTCTGAGGAACATTTGCAAGCTAATTTTTCACTTTCTTTGCATTTTGAACTCCTCAGTGAGACAGTACTCTGTAATTCATCTTCAACAAGAAATGTCTCGCCCATTCTAGCCATAACATTAGGAAAAACAGTCTGTTTGGAGACTCTCTGGCCATTTCCAGATACCAAATGATGTTCTAAACTTGAGTCAGAGTAGTCCATTTTTATTTCGTTTGTATCAACATGAGAATAAGGTACCAGAGCAGATAAATTATTAATGGAAGAATTGTCCGCAGAAAATTCTGTGAGGTCATTTCCAAAAGCTTGATTCTGGATGTCCTTACTTCTACTGCTGCATATGCTGGGTAGTGCTCGCTTCAATTTAAGAGGTCTGAACCCTCTTATTTTGTCTACAGTGACATTGAGTCTTGGTCTTCTACAAGACATTCTTCTGTGCCTTAAGTTTCCAAACAGGTATTTAAACACTTTTCTCTGAGACTGCTTTTTCATGAGCCTTATAAATGTCTTCACCATCGCTGGATACAGGTCTGCAAGAGTTACATTGCTCCAGGAGCATTCCTCATCTGCAGACTGGTATTCTTGGAAGATACTATCATAGCAACTTTTATTCAGTTCTGGAGAAGTTTGATGCCTAGTTATAGTAATTGTACATGGTGAAATGGGAACAGAAGATTGTAACTGAAGAGATCTGGATGAAAAACATTCATTTGACAACTCTGCCCTTCTGCAAACAGCGGCTTGGTTGCCTATGCAAAAAAAAAAAAAAAAAGTAAATAATCACAAAACAAAACCAGAAGAAAAAAAAACCAAACCAAACCTATCAGGGCACTTCCAGTAATGTACTACATAGCTTAGAAACAATTGCATTTTGTACAAATAGTCTTACTGTAATAGCATATTTAATTAAGCTTTTTTTGCCAGGCTAAGTAAATTGTCAACATACAAGCCATAAGGAAAAAAAACCTAAAGGTTTTTCCTAGCCATATTGAATTGATAGGTTTTAGAAGACATAAATGAAATGCACTGGGAAGAAACCTATTTTAAAACAGCTTAATATATAGAAATAAAATATTTTCATCGTAGAGGTAGACTGCTTTGCCCTTTGTGATTTCTGATCAAGAGGAACAGCCTTATCCAACAGCATTTTTTTTACTCTGAAAGCTTTATACTTGGCTAGTATCAGTTCAGCTTTTCTTGTCATAAAACATGATGAAGAGAAGGCTTTTTGTAGTTGTTAGGCTTGTATCAAGTCTGGAGAGCTTCAAAGGAAAGTTTACTAGCAAAGTACCACTTTGAGTACCAGTTACCTGCAGATGCAAAGCCATCTGTTACAGTCTTTGAATTGAAAATAAGCAGAACAAAAAAATTATGCTTTTATTTTAACTGAGCATAATGCTGCTGAATTTTGTAACTGTGCATTTATTTCATGGACTATTTAAAAAAGCTTTTTTATGTATATAAGTTATTTATTTTCTACTTTTGAAACAGATTTTACAATAAGCAAAATCACATCTAACTTCTCTTCAAGAATCCAGCCTGTTTAATTTTTCTGTTGGATAAATACTGCCTCTGTGTTCTCAATAAACTAAATGCATATTTCTAAATAATTTTAATAAACCCATGTTTTGTAACTAAGATATTTGACCAACACCCAAAAGATTTAGTTGTACCAATCAATTCTTGCACTGGTGAAGCTACTTGAGGACCCTCTGATGAACCTTGAGGTGCTATCTGAAGAAAAAAGGTAGAAAGAAAAAAAAAAAAAAAAAGCATTATCTAATATCCTGATTTTTATTTTTTTTAACACATTTAAGGTAACTTCAAAATCCTAACTGTGACTCTTCCTGTTCTCTCCCCAGTATACTAGGTCCTGTGCAGTGTCATGTTTCTAAGGACCCTAGTAAATTTCAGACAAAGAGAAAAAAATCTAACGTAAATCAGTCAGTAAAAATTGTTGAGAATTACCAGTTTAACTTTGGAAAGCTATCATCATCTTTGTAACTTCTACATTATGTATCACATTTTAATCTCTTTCCAAAATATGATAACTTATACACAGAAATATACACACACACACACCTGGATAATTTGTTTATCTCTGGTGACTCCAGTAGGAAACAGAAGCAGTATCATATAACATAACCCTTTTCCACCAATCCCACTCTCCCTACAAACTTCAGATTTGGCCCTTTCAGAAAGCTTACTGAAGGGAAGATCAATTCATACACCATGGTTCAAAGAACAAAGTATAAAAGTTTTTTTAAAAAATTAAGCATTTTGTATCATCTGCTCTGTTTCTTACAAATTGTTGCTGTCAGACCTGATACTGTGATATTTAAGTAGACAATAAGCAAGAGAGGAACAATGATGGACTAGCAGAGAAACTCTATGAAAATTTGTTGTGCTGAGAGAGTTCTTATTTTATTCTAATTAGCTAATAACTTAGAAAAGGAAAAATATGTTACCGTAATCCACTTGGGAATATTTCTAGCATGATCTTGTACTATCACATCCACTTGAATTTTTGCCTTCTCTTGAATTTTCCTATCATCTACATACTGGTTCTTAGAGGGGGGGAAAAAGAATAATTAATGAAAACACAGACCTGACACAGTGACAAACCCAAACATTATTTAGATTTGCTTCAGACCAATATTATTCAAACAAGGATATCCAACCAGCATAAACATATTTTTGATGTATGTATTTGATGTCAAAAAAACCCACCCCATGAAGGTACTATATGTAAAGTAATATAAAAAGAGATAACTAGCTAGTTTATTGATGCAGGGAAAGATGCCTCAGAAGATCCTGAAGCTTTCTCTTGTGTACTAATAATACCAAGACACTATTACTTCATGTAGGTCTTCATGACATTATTTATTGAACCTCTATGTGCATTAAGTCACAGACAACAGACTCTTCCCCTGATAGTGGATCAACTCATCAGGCATGTGTAAGCTATTAAAATAGTTCAATCATTTCTATAAAATACAAAATTATTCCATTATATTTAGACACCAGAAATTTTTACCTTGAAGTGAATGTCTTCAAATTGACTTCTTACTGAAGCTATATCAGCATCACTTTCTGCATCTACCATTTGAAGATAAATATTACATAAAATTTAGTTGAACTCCAAACCAAAACGGAAATGTTTTTAAATACACACTATATAACTAATGGACTAAACTAATTTCATTTTAGAAAACTGTTTTCTACAATAAAAATAATAATCAGTTTCACATTGACTAACATAAGTTTTAAATATTTAAAAAGCAATCAAAGATTGTTACCACTAATTAATGCAATAAAAAAATTATTTGGGAATACATGGTCAAAACCACTCAAAACACAGCAGACAGGACACATGACTGATGCTGAAACTGTTACAAACACTACTGAACACTTACTGTTGCAGCTGAAGGTAATATTCGTATTTACCAGACCACTATAAATTAATGTATACATTGCAATTATTAATAAAACTTTGATTACCACTTATGACCAAGTTTTGATTTCACTGTTCCTTTCTTTTTTTAGAAAAGGCATTTGAATATATTCCACACTGACTTCCTAACTTGTTGCGGATTCAGGACTGAGACAGTAAAGAAGAATGTGGGTATTGATTTTGCAGTACTACCAGTACCTCAGTGTCATTATTCCTATTCTCTATTTTCTGAAAGGATATAAAACATTTATTCAAATTATCATTACTATACTATAAAATCATAAAAAAAAATTGTAATCATATTCAGAAAGTTAAAAAGAAGGTAGCTAAAAATTAAATTAAAAAACCCACCTATATCAGATGTATCCATACAAGAGGCTTCAGGAGATTCCTTAAAAGCACAATAAAGGAATTTTAAGACATGGCAGCACAAGGTATATGAATAGCTTGTAGATTTTTCTGCTCTCACTACTTGCTTTTTTTTTATTTTATTTTTTTTGAGAGGTCAGTAGTGGTAAAACAAAACAATTTATATTCCACAAACTATATCCAAACAATACCACCTTTATTAATACACCTGCACACAAATTTGTCATGATTCACATCTCATTACTCAGCCCTTCTATATTCAGATAGATAATGCAAAGAGAAGGTGTTTTACCGCAAGAGCAAAACCAGTTGACATATTAATTCTAATCACCAAAGCCGTATCAGTGTATACTGGTGATTTTGCATTCCAATGTGTAAGGAAAGATTCTTAACTGACCATTTCAAACAATTCTTAATTGCCTACTTCAAACAATCATATATATAATATTTCAAAATAGCATTTTTGCTCTATTCGTATAAGTCTTGAGAGATGCATTAAAAACTCACATATATGGATAAGGAGCCTCTTCTAAGTGTTTACAATCTAATTCTGACATAATATGAATCCGAATTTCTTTTTTAAAAGGTCTAAATGTCTCTGTACAGTTCAAATATTAAATAAGTGTATTATGGGTTAAAATGGCATCAGTAAAATGAGACTACTCTAGCTACCACCTACATACAATAAATAAATAGGAGTGATAAGTGGCGTATGTCACTCTTCAAATGCTGAATATTTTCTCCTTAAAAGGACAGGAAGTCAAAAGACATTCTAGATAGACTTTTATAGATCTAGATTCGTAAATCTATTTTTGACAGATTTAACAAATAATAATTTTAACAGTTAGACACATGTAGTGCCTAACTAAAAAGACACTTGATGGTTTAAAGCCTTTATCAAACTCTTCTCTCTCCCTTTAAATCAACTTTAAAGAATAGTAGAATTCTGCTGAAATCCATGGCTGATATAATTGCTGTTACTTGACACCCCAAATATCACACTGGGAGGGAGAATATGTAATTATATGAAACATACATAAACCCTACCACATAAACACAAATAGGCACATAATAAAAACAAAAATATAAAAAAATATTGCATGAATCCACCATCACAAAATGTACTGGACCACCACATACATAAGGCCAGAACTTGAATACATCACTATCTCAAAGTACAGAATGTACCAGGGGAATAAACAATCGGGAGTATACTAGATGATCAACATTAATCATAACATGAAGATTTTAATTTTACATTAACATGCAACTGGTAAGACACATCTTTCATAAAATAATACAACTACTTGCAGGCAACTACGTGAGGGGAAATATAAAGCAATTGTTTAATAAGGTATCTAAATTTAAAGAACTGCAGCAAAATACTTAAAGTCCTACATTTTTTTGGAAGTACTAATTTAAGTAGAATAAAGTGATACAGTTCTGCAATTAGTAGGTCCTTAAATTTAACATTATAGTGATGGTACAGGACCACCTGCACATGATTAATTTATTAGTTTTTGACTACATAAATACATTTTCCCAGAGGCTTTATAAAAGTAGATGAAATGTGGTGCACATACCTTAGGTGCTGTTGAAGGTCCATCTTCAGGATCACTGGTCTGTTGCTTTGACATTTCTTAGCATACATGGGAGGAAAAAAAAATTCTATTTCAATCTGATGGGTCAAAAATCAATGTTGTATCTGAACCCATTAATTCTTCATTTGTATGTACTTATTTTGAAAAATATTTAACACAAACATTCAACCAAAAGGAGAACATACATAGGACTGAAACAAAACACACAAGTGACAGAACAACATTCTACTCACAGTAGACTAATTCTGATCAGACATACATCTAACTTATTACATATTTTGTTCTAAACCCATGAAGCACTACAGAAAATAAAATTTGCCCCTCTATCTTCCCTACACCTTTCCCCCCTACACCTTTCCCCCTGCCACGCTCCACTAAAGTCCTATCACCTGTGGCTCTTTTGTTATTTTTCTGACTCACTCCAGCTAGTCAAGCTACCACAAAACACAAAACAAAGTATTTCACCACAGGTTTTATCAGTGTTGAACAGTGAACAAAACCTGTTTTGTGTGCTTTAAATAGTAGGCACCTGTGCGTACCTTCCAGCATAGCATGTGCTATTTTCATAACAGAGTGATACTCCTGGTTGGCTCAGCCAGTCTTCAAGATTGCCTCTTTCTGCATTTGATTATTCCTACTTAAGTTTATTACTTTGAACTTCTCTACATGGAAGTGCACAAGAGTTTAAGTTTTAGCCCCAGTTTGTCAGACCATCTTTCACAGTGGTCATTCCTACTTGGTATCATCTGTGAGTTAATTAAGGGTATCCCCTCTTCTGCTAGTTACCTAAAAAAAGTATGAACTAGTAATTTTTTCATGACAAGTCCTGGAAAAAAATCCCTCATGTTTATCCTCAGTTCAGTCACAGACCATCGTTAACTATTCTAAGCACAGTTCTCCAACCAGTAGTAAACTGGCTATAAAACCACTCTCATAACAGTTAATGAAGCATATACTATAGCCAGAAGGCTCTGGCTTCGGCTTTTAACTTTCTCAGGAAATTTTTGTTCACTATTTTGCAACAAACTACTGTAATGCTTCTTTGGAATATAGTAGCAATGCATTTTTTTAGAAGCTGAATAAAGCATTTGCTAAACATTTCTGGACTGAGAACACAGAAAATCAGAATAACATGGTAATGTTCTACTGAAATCCCCTACCGAGAAAGACCTGTGAAATACCAGAGGTTTTGTTTAAGAAAAATTCTATAGGAAAGAATGAATTTTAAGTGCCTAATTCATGACAGAAAAAATGCTCTTAGAGGAGCATGTAGGGGTAGGAGGAGGGGTAATGGTTTTAAAATGGAAGAGGATAGATTAAAATTAGGTTTAGGAGGAAATTCTTCAGTGTGAGTGTGGTGAGACACTGGCACAGGCTGACCAGGGAAGTTGTGGAAGCCCCATCCCTGGAAGTGTTCAAGGCCAGGTTGGATGGGGCTCTGACCAACCTGGTCTAGTGGGAGGTGTCTCTGCCCATGCAGGGTGGGGCTTCAACTAGATGATCTTTACAGGTCCTGTCCAACTAAAACCATTCCATGATTCTATGAATATTTCTCCTGTTCTACCCACTTTAATACAGTACACTAAATTTAAAACTAACTAGATTAAGACTTTGTAGCATTACAGAAACTACAAGTAAATTCCTTCAATGAGAGCTTCTGAGGCATTCAGACCTTAGGTCAAAAAACATGTATTACCAAAAATTACTTCTGAAAGACTTCGAACGCTGTGTCTCTAAAAAAACCTGACTGTTAGATACTCTTATCTTTCTGAGCTTCACTACAGATTATAGCCAGTCATTTTTGTATTACTCAAAGCTATCAGCATCTGTTTTCTAAAAATTAGAAGCAAAGATCTGGACCATCTGAATCTTTTTTTATCAGATCCTTATTTCCTGGCTCAACATTTTAATTTCCTAGGCTGATTCAAAGCCTATACACAAACAAAATTTTTGGTAGCATTGCAGAGAAAGAGAGACCCTGGGTTGTGTTTTGTCCTCACCTGTTCAGCACAAAACTTTACCACAGAAATGTCAAAATAAGTAACACTAAAATAACTGCTTCAGAACCTTAAGAAAATACAGCCCAACATACCTTCTCACTGTACTACACACCATTCTCTGATCATTTATCCCAGTAAAAATATGTAATTTATTGGAACATGTATCTCCATTTTAGAACAATAAAAACATCTTCAAATGTCATACAACTCCCTAAGTAGTATAAGAACGACACTTCAGTATGCAGTATTGATTTTACTTCCATAATACTGGATCACCATTGAAATAACAAAAACCTACTTTTTCCTGCAGGCACTGTCATTCATTCAGTATACCCAATAATCTACCATATTTTTGAAAGCTCTGAAGATTATTTTAGTAAGAGTTTTTTAATATGGTTACTTATCTATTCTTTTCAAAAAGCTAGCAACTTCCAAATTTATTTACTTGTACACCCATGTAAGTCAGCGATAGAATTTTTAAAATAATGAACAACCAACAAATAAAAAAAAGTTTTCTGTTTAAATGATAAGTGTAGATTACTTTAATCCTGTTGTGATGATAACTACATCAATTATAATCTATTTAGTAATCTTAAACTACATTTTGAAAACCTTGTAAGAATTCCTGTGTTCTTGGGTCGTTCCTCCCCAAAAAATCCCCAAACTAACAGTGAGTATCCTAGAGTTTGGCTTAAAACCAAGATATCTTCTATTAAGTCAGGGGTCTTTGCATAAGATTTATAGGCACTTTACCTGCATTTCCTGGACTTGCTCTATTATGCTGCAATTAGAAATAGGAAACAAAAGTCAGAGGAATATTAGAATAGTAAAGTTATACCAAAGTAACTAAAGGCATTGGTTAAAATATCTCACAACTAAACACTTCCTAAATAACCATTCATTTTCCTTCAGGTTTCCTATGGCCTGACCAGAAAAGCCACAAATACATGGTAAAACTCACTTGATCATTCACGTCCCACCATGCTGTTGCTGTTATAATCATTGCAGGAACATAAGTTGTATCTACCCTGGTCCATGTAAGAGACTAAGACAAATAATTCCTCCTACAGTCCTTAACGGATTTAGTCTGTAAAGTTGTGCAGCAATACTTAATAGATAATAAACAAGCTATTACCAGGAGTAGGAAAGGAAATACAACTTCTTTTCTGTCTCAATTACATCCACTCTTGTTCCCCAAGACTGAATTTCTCTCATCCCCTAACTCTGCAGGGGTCAAAGTAGCTTCTCCTTTAACTATCTAGGCACACTACACAACACAGCTTTTTAGACAGATATTAGTCATGTAATAGCAAGGTGACTTCTGACTATTACGTGAGAAAAGCTGAGGTTTTTGACAAAATTCACTATTGAGTTCTATGGGGGAGTTTAGGAAACAAAGAGAAGTGACTGCTTGTTTAATGTAAATACTCAGAATAAAAAAAAAAATACTGATCATATCTCCACAACAGCAATGGCTTTAGCCTAAAACTGACAGCAAGTGCTGAGACTGCAAAGATCCTTCAATTACTCTAGCATTATTTTAGACCAAAAAACATCTCTAGATGAAACCAGTAAGCCCTTCACAATTGAAAAGCTGATTATCTGAAACAAGATAAACTGATCCAATGCATGTGAACTTAAATGACAATATTCTGATGAGATCCAAAAGTATATGTGCCCACTAGACAGCACCTAAAACAACAGTATTTTTTTCTTCAGGTTTACAAGTGGTGGTAACCACTGGTAAATGGTCATCTATAGTCTGTCACATCTGACAGTCTTAACCAATCTATCCTAAAACCCTATTTTAAAGCAGATGTTGACTTAATCCATTATTACCTCTTGCAAAGATAATACAGCAAGATTATAACGTATTCCATACACATATTAGAATTTTTTTTAAAGAGAAACGTTGCTACATTTTGACTACACAGGACTATATTGTTAGATACCTCAAGTATGTCTGCCTTCCAATTTTTAAGCTCCTTTTTTGACACTTCCCCCCATTGCTTTGGTCCTAGAAACAACAAGAGAGGTCAATATAAACAGTTTTATAAGAACAAATAACTATACCGAATATCACTCAAACATAAACATCTAGAAAGAATTTATATAGTAAGTAAATATTATCATAACTGAACCGACTCCAATACGATTGCTGAAACAAAAACGTAAAGGAAAACAAACCAAGAGAATATGCAATTTAAAGTTAACTTAAAAGGCAAATAAAATAAAATAAAAAGCTGGCACAACATTTCATTTCTCAGTAAAGCTGCCAATATACTAAGTCACAAGTCCCACTAAACTCCTGAGCCATGTATTTTAGAACAGGTTTTTTTCTACAATCAGCATTCCATAAGCCTCATTACCTTCATAATGGATTGACAGTTCTAAAGGAACACTGGAAAATATGACATGGTATAGATGTGGTATAGATTTACCCTAACTACATGAACTTTCAGCGAAATGTTAGACTATCTACCCAGTCCACCCTAGCATTTCACATAACCGAAACTTATCAGACCAGCCTTCAGACTACTAAGCTGAGATGAAACTATACAATTCATTTCTGCATGTCAGGTTCCTGATAAAACCTCCATTCCTTTTCCTTCTCCTCAGTCTTTTGATTCTTCTTACAAGATTCATTTTGATTCTTCTTACAAGACATCAAAAAATTAACCACTGTTATCCTGAACTTTGCTAATACCTCTTTTCTGTTGCCTAAAACAGAGCATGCAATGGCCTAAAATGGTGCATATAAATAAATTCTCCAGGTATTAAATGCATTGTATCAAAGTTCATATAGGAAATGCCATACCTAAGTGGATAAAACTCATTACTTGTTGCAATTACATGTTAAATAACTGCTAACAGCTGCATACTTTACTAAGTCTAAATAGACAGCATATTGAAGCTTTAAGAAGTTCTTACCAGCAGGTGTATTGTAAGTGAGAGTTTCCATGGAAACAACATAGTCATCTTCAAAAGGATGATTATACTAAATAAAAAGGACCATTAATTATGAGAATAAATAATTAAACCAATGTTCTTAATATGCATTATAAGTATTGTTTTTATACAATTCTGTTTTGACTCAAATGTGAAATTATGTTTTATTAGCTGAAGTTAGAAGTCAGCAATCTGGAAATGCTAATTCCTAGAGGAAACACATGTATCTAAGTTATTCAATTTCAAGGCATAAGCAGTCAACTGACAAAATGATGTTTCAGGGATTTTTCAAAAGTAGTGAAGTTACTCTATTACAGAATTTCTTCTAAACTTCCTCTGTAGTAACTGGAATTAGCCAGTTGGCATAGACCTACAGCTAGGTCAGATGAGAAAAATGCCAGATGAGAAAAATGTTCTAGAACTAGACTCAGCCTTATGCCAGTACCTACACATTAGCACAGAGCATTGAACTTTAAACACAAAGAGGCCCTAAAGTAAGGAGGATTCCTGGAGGGAGGCTCCCACTTTCTGTAGCTTCGTTGAAAATACCCGACCGGCTGCTCGCTAGTTCGGGTCAGCGGCGCTATAAAGACAACTCAGACTTACCACTACGTCACTTATTTCATCCTGGCGATCCTGGATCTAAGTTTTATGGGCAAACACAAGGGGCCGGCTCCTTACCCGCCCACCCCGGGCAGAGCAGAGGAGCACGCTGCTCTGGCAGCCGCAGGAGCTGGTGACACAACCACTGACTCCCGAAGAGAGTTAGTTCAGCGCCAGCTCACTGCCCATCAGCGCACGGAAGGAGGACGGAACCTGCCGGCACTGGCACAGCAGGACTCAAGAGGCGGTGAGGAAGGAGGAGAGCAGAGCAGCTGCCTGAGGCCGCGCTGCCCGGCGCCCTGCCGGGGGCGGCCGGGGGGGACAAAGGCG